GAGTTGGGCACCTTCGCTGCTCTTGCTGATAACCCTACTCATTCCCACATCTCCTCTATTATCCATAGCTTTTACCTGTATTTTCAAGTTCTGAAATCCATCCATTATTAACACCGTACGAGCGTCAGTCAAAGCACCTTCGTCCACCAACTCTGCTGCCGTGTGTGCCAGCATCCCATGTCGAGAAATCAATGATTGACCACCCATTAAGGTTGTTGTTGGTTCGAAGACTGTAGTTGCTTTTGCATTTTGCGTCCACCGACCTACAATGTACTGATCTGGTAACAACATCACCTATTTCCTAAGCATAAATGCGAGCATGTGACGACATGGATATCCTTCAAACTCAAATGTTTTACATCTGCATGCTATGAAGTCAATGGCCCTGAAGTAGGTCAACTTACGTTGGCGATGATATTTTTTTTCGGTATCAAAACGCGTTACAATATACGTTTTGACACCTCCGTATGCTGATTTCCTTGAGAGAACGTAGTAGCTACTCTAAGCTAATTCTTCTTGGAACAACAGGAAAATTGTCTTTGTATAAATACGTGTCATTTGAGTTTCCATAGCAAATGTTGTTATCGTACGAGGCACCTCGTTCAAGTCAGTATGGTTGGCAACCAATTCGCTATGTCACTGGTGTGCCAGAGCACTGTGAAACTGTGTGATAAAATCCATTAATGTGTCCGTCTTATTGACATATCTTTTGAAAAACGTATGGTTGCTTTCTGATCGTTGATTGCTTGACATCCCGGCAGAGAATATATGCTTCATGTACGCAGGTACCCAACGACTTCGTATTTCATACATGTTCGCAAGCCACTCATTATCACCAAGATCAGTAGTTTCCATCACATCAGCCCAACAAGATTCGAACTCCTCTGGGGACTCCGACTGCTTAATGATACTCACCAGGCCGTGGTATAGTTCCTTGTACAGCACGAAACTCATCTTCTCTGAGAACTTGTTTAGAATATGCTATAGACAGAACCTATGCATTGTGTTAGGAAAAACCTTACCAACTGCTCTAGCAATGGCAACGTCTTGATCAGTAATAATCACCCTGAGGGCCCGTTGGGTAGGCATTGCTTCGACGAACTTCAAAACAACCAAATAAATGACAGCGTCTTGATCAGTAATAATCACTGCGGGGAGCCATTGGGTAGGCATTGCTTCGACGAACTTCAAAAACAACCAAATAAATGAATCGATCTTTTCATCACTCAATAAGCCACATGCGAAAATAGGAGTTTGCCGATGGTGATTTACTTCAACGAATGGTGCGAACACCATCAAATACTTGTTTGTGTTATATGTTGTGTCGAAAACTACAGCATCTCCAAAGTAAATATAAGAACTCATGGACTCTGCATCAGCCCAGAAACAACGAGCGAACACACCATCCTCATCAGTCTCATAGGCGTAGTAGAAGCTTGGACTCCTTCTTTTTTCCAACTCGAAATGCGCAATCAATGTTTCTGCATCGCGTCCAATGACTTCTCGTCGTCGATCTCGTCGATAGTTCCTGATATCTTGCTCATTACAGCCCAATGAAGAAGGCCCACCAGCATCTATCTCCATAAGTCTGATCTGTTGACAGCTAGGAATATTGGCCTATGAAAATTGGTCAACAAGCGCTTTTTTGGTTGCAAAAACATGTCGATGTGAGCGTAGTAGGTGCGTTTTGCTTGGTGTAGATAGTGCATGATTATGCCCTTCGACAAAATGGCTTACAACCCACATGGAAGTTGTCTGATGTTTTATCACTGTTAACTTTGCATCACATCCACAACGTGAGTTCCCACGCTTTCGTTCACCAGAACGGGCCACCAAATTTTTGAGTTTCATCTGGTAGGACTCATCTTTTTGACCCTGTTTAAAGCAAACATACGACTTCCAGACAAGCTCATTTGTCTGTTGATTCTTTCGGCTACTACTAATACGTATGCTAAAACCAGCTACTTTCGCATACTCATTGTAAAAATTATACACATCATCAAGCGTTTGAAATTCTTGCCCGAATATCGGAATCGCACCAACATTCACTTGTGGAATAAATACATTGTCATCCCCTTCCATTCCTAAAAATTAATATGAAAAATTATTTAGTTTGTGAAATAATTTAAA